AATCCCCCTCAACACCGACGTCCGGCGAACCTGTAACCCGTCGTCATTCTGGCTTTCCAATCTAAATTCGGAGGAGGACCTGCGGCCGTGGCCTCTCCAATGGCCCAGGCAAATGCAGAACCCGTGCAGGAAGAATACGAGTATGTGCCTCGGCCGGAATCTCCAAGTCTCTCGCTACATGGACAGTACACTGACGCTGATATCAGTTATGAGGGTCTCGATGATACCTATTCAGTCGGCCAGAAACTCGCTGCCGGCGCCATCGCTGGTATTGTCGTACGTCACTTCATGTCAAATACACTTACTCGAATTCGGTATATTGATGTATGACTAGGAGCACACATGCATGTATCCAATGGATAACGTCAAGGTAAGCAAGAGTCGCCACAGCCCAGCTTTCGCTTGCTAATCACCATGCTAACAATGATCCAGACCCGAATGCAAGTCTTACATAAAACACCCTCCGCCGTCTACAATGGAGTGATCTCATCGTTGGCGCGGATCCAGACGGTTGAGGGAACTCGTGCTCTGTGGCGGGGAATGTCTAGCGTGGTTATAGGCGCAGGTTGGTAAATCGAAAAACCAACACATTACCGAAGCTCACCATGCGATAGGTCCGGCGCATGCCGTCTACTTTACCACAATGGAGGCCGTAAAGGAAGCTATGGGGGCGAATAACACCAAGGAACACCAAGACTTGGCATCAGGTACAGATATACCCATGACGGAATTTTGCTGTTGATGCTAACACCCATCAGTGGTCAGCGGAGCAGCCGCATGTGTCACAAGTGAAGTGATAATGACTCCTTTTGACGGTAATTTAAATCTAATCCGGTACTGTGAATTCAACTAATATCGTAAAGTCATCAAGCAGCGCATGCAAATCCACAACTCGAGAGCCTTGTACAAGTCAGCAATCGACTGCGTCAGACATGTCTATGCAGCCGAAGGATGGAAGGCATTCTATGTTTCATATCCCACCACCATTATGGTTGCCGTTCCATTCACCTCCATTCAATTCTTTGTTTACGAACGCTTCAAGAAGACCATGAACCCATCTGGAGAGTACAAACCAGGAATTCATGCCATGGGTGGTTTCCTTGCTGGAGGAACTGCTGCCGCGATGACCAATCCACTGGATGTGGTGAAAACGATGCTTCAAACCAGAGGAGCTGGAGCCGATACGGAATTGAGAAACGTCAGCAAGTTCGTTGAAGGAGTCAAGCTTGTGTACAAGAAAGAAGGCTTCAGGGGATATGCCAAGGGAATGCAAGCTCGCGCACTTACAGCCATGCCTAGCATGGGTGTTTGTTGGATGTCCTACGAGTTTTGCAAGTAAGTGCTCTTGAATTTGGGTCGTGGGGATCTCGCTAATATCCTTCTTCTAGGTCTTGGTTCATCCAATCAAACCAGGTCTAATTCTTTGACCCAAGCCAAAATGTCTGATTTGTATTCGACACACGACGGAAGGTGTGGCATCAACCTCATCATAATAAGAGCCACAAACGCAAAAGCGCTAATATCTGACTGATTTGGACGGCACGAGTCCCTTGCGGTGACGCCGTGTCTCTAATCGATGGATTTATATTTGGATACTTTCGAGCTGTCGCCAAAAAAACTGCTGGCCTGAATAGCATCACCTCGATTCTCGTATTTACACGAAATGGTCGATTTGTACATAATGATTTTTCTACTTTCTCTAGAGAGGTTTGCTGGATTTTTCTTGGGGGTTGGGGTGGACTTGTTTTCATCGATGATGTTTGCAAAGTGAGGGAGTGGGAGGGAGATGATCTTCTTGAACAGAGTTGGGAATGGCGTTCACAGTGTGCATGCATACATGAGGGCGTCCGTGGAGGAGGCAAAAGAAAACGTACTTTAAGGAGTATGGAAAGGAAAGGAAGCGAATGCGAATAGAGCTTTGAGTGCCGTGTAACTATATCTCTGGTGGGGGGTACTTTTGATAGAGGCGAGCCCTGATATGTGAGAAATTCCAAAAATATTGATGGATGCGTTTAGATTGCGAGATGTTTACCTATCTGCATCTGCATTTGAGCCTGTGATATTTACTGCGTACCGAGTACTCGCATCGGGGTGAAGTCGCTTCCACGCTAAAAGAGGGGATGTGACGTAGGTTTGTGGCTGGGGTGCAGTCCGAACATCTGAGCCAAAGTGAGAGCCTCACAAGGAACATCCCATTCGACTACCTCTGTAGCTCGCTCGAGACGACAACGACACCCTTCTGGAAGCTTGGGACATTTTCTGGATCGCACGATCAGACCAGCCCATACTGAAAGGAACTTTGCTATTGTGAACAACGATAACGGAGAACGGGTATCGGTACTTGGGAAGACGAAGGGATCACTGTAGGGAAGAGGAAGCATATTGCCCCGAGGGATCTACCGAAGGAGAGGGGGGAAGGAAAGCAAAGGACAGATGCAATGATGCGGAATAAGACCTCGTCTTCGTTGCAGAAGACATATGATGAGTGTTATCTACACTGCTCTACTGCTGTATTCTTTGAAGGGAAGGTAAGGCCCCTCTGCCTTCTCTCTCCCCCGCCGTCCTCAATTCCTTCCATTCCCTCTCTTTCTCCACACACGCACATGGATCCAAACTCGTGCTAACTCCTATATCTACAGGGTAACGAACAAGAAGCCCTCCGATCATGGCGCGAAGGTCTAGACAAGATATACTACCACAATGCCTACCGCGTCCCCGCTGGCTATGTCCCTAAATCCGAAACGGAAAAAGCGTTGAAGGATAGCCTGGGGAGGATGGAGATACAGTGTAAAGAGAGGGTTGATTTACTGGTTGCTCTCAAGGCTTCAAGAGAAGAGGCAGCTGGTGGGAAGGAGGAAGGGTCTGGTGTGAAGATTACAAAGTCTGCGAAACCGACTCCTAGACCGTCGGAGGAGAGGCAGAGGGGTGATGGATTTATCGGCGATGGGACCATTCCTGCGGAGAGCTATGAGGGGATATCCAGACCGTCTACGCTTCCTCAACGACCGGCTTTGGTGGGCAAGAATAGTGCTGAGATGGCAGTGGTTGGGAAGGGGACTGGGTATGGGGAGGGGAGAGATAGGATGTCGAGTGCGCCTGTGGCCTCTTCGAGTAGCGGTACTCATCTTGCACCGAAGCCTATGAAGAAATCCTCGAGGAGTCCGAGTCCGGAAAAGAGACATATGTTACATACCTTGAGATCATCAGATAGGATGGGAAGGAAACCAGTTCCCAAGCCACCCAGGAATAAGGATAATCCGGTTACGAACAAGGCTGCTTCTTTGGCGTGGCAGTCGTTGGGGAGAAGGGATCGACTGGGACGTAGTTTGGATGCGGAACAGAGTGGTAGTTCTAATTCGCTGGTGGATTCGAGAAAGGAGAGCATTTCGGATCCTACGACGGGGCGACCTGGGTCGGGGAGTAATGTGAGGTATGACAGCAAAACGAGAACTTTGGTTCCTGATAGGGATGCGAAGAATATAAGTCCGACGGAATCAGTTTCTGGAAAGAGGACAGGTCATGATTCTTCTCTTCGGCCGAGTGGATATCCGTTTCCACCAACAGCTTCAAGTCCAGCTTCTGCATCGGCTAGAAATACTTCTGGTTTTCAGGAATTCCCGGATTTTGATTCTACGTCTCCTCTCGTTCCAGATCCTTCACGCCAAAGATTTTCACCTCCGCCACCTCATATAAACTCACCTGCAAAGCTTGAACCTTTGAATTACCCCACTTACTTAAAGGAGTACCCTGAGACATCAGCAAAGAAGATCAAAGCAGCTCAAAATGAAATGCCATCAAGGAGGAAACCGAAAGAAGCTCAAGATGGCAAGAAGAAGCTTCCAATAAAAGTCACAACCTCTTCAAGACATCGAGACCGACATCAGGAAAGAGATGAAGCGAGACGACAGAAGAGAAGATCAGCGCCGAAACCTGTTGATGAGGATGCATCTTCTCAAAGCGTCGATGATAACACTGCTAGTAGCGATAATCAACCCCCTTCTAATCGGAAGCTAAAGGCAAAAGATGCACAAAAAGCTGCCCCTATAGCAGCTGATCTCAACACCCCAAGCTCCGACACCGAATCCGAAACAGAAAAAGATCAAGACCCCGTTAAAACCGCATGGGACCTCAAAGTAGCATCTCTTATGAAGAACCTCCCCAAAGGCGTGGATGAAAAAGCAGCCTCACAGATCTTCAACGAGATAGTTGTGCATGGTGATGAAGTCCACTGGGATGACGTCGCGGGACTTGACATAGCCAAGAACGCTCTGAAAGAAGCTGTCGTGTACCCATTCTTACGTCCAGATCTATTCATGGGCTTACGCGAGCCCGCAAGAGGAATGCTTCTTTTTGGTCCTCCTGGTACGGGCAAGACAATGTTAGCGAGAGCTGTAGCCACCGAGAGTCGCTCGACGTTCTTCTCCATTTCCTCGAGCTCTCTCATCTCGAAATGGCTGGGTGAAAGCGAGAAACTTGTTCGGGCTCTCTTTGCGCTTGCGAAGGCACTAGCACCCAGTATCATCTTCGTGGATGAAATTGATTCACTTCTCTCCTCTAGAGGGGAAGGGGAACATGAATCCACACGCAGGATCAAAACAGAGTTCTTGATTCAGTGGAGTGATTTGCAAAGAGCGGCGGCGGGGAGAGAACAGAGTGAGAAAGAAAAGAGGGAGGGGGATGCGAGTAGGGTGTTGGTTTTGGCGGCTACGAATCTGCCGTGGGCTATTGATGAGGCAGCCCGACGACGGTTTGTTCGAAGACAGTATATTCCGCTACCGGAGGGAGGGACTAGAGGGATACAGTTAAGGACCTTGTTGGGGCATCAGAAACACAGTCTCGAAGAGGCCGACATTGAGAAATTAATTTCCCTCACAAATGGTACGTTTCTCTTCCTCTCTCCCCAATCCCTCTACCTGATCTCCTCTGCTTACTAAACACTTCCCCTATAATTAGGCTTCTCCGGCTCCGACATCACCGCCCTCGCCAAAGACGCGGCCATGGGTCCTCTACGCAGCTTGGGCGAGAAACTCCTGCAGATGAGTATGGAGGAGATCCGACCCATTGAGTTACGAGACTTTGAGGCGAGTTTGGGGAATATACGGGCCTCTGTTTCGAAAGAGGGGTTGAAACTTTTTGAGGAGTGGGCGAGGGAGTTTGGGGAGAGGGGGGGTTAGGGTGGGAGATGTGTGGGGAATAAAAAAGGGTGGGATGGAAGGGGGTGGAAAGGGAAAGGTTAGAAAGAGGGAGGGAGAGCAGGGGGTGGAAGAGGGGTGGTGGTATGGGGTAAGGTAGAAGTGGGATTGGGAGTACGGATTCTGGTATCTTTTATCAAGTTACCCCATTGTACAGTACGTTATGAGGGATTGAACGGTGATGGAATGGAAATGGAACGGGAATCAGGAAGGGGAAGGGAAGGGAATGATATCACTACAGTACGCAGTCTAACAGTATAGTACGTAAATGAAATCAACAAATAAGCAAACAGACAATACTGTATCCGAAAGACAACATGATTCAGGTTAAGTCTTGAAAAATGAAAGGAAAATAAAACAAAAAAGCTTGTAAGATGTTTTACTATATAGATTCAGGGTTATTAGGTAAGAGATTAATTATATTGATTGTGTTATAGTACTGTAACGGGGGTTTAGCGTACTGTATTATGTAAAGGAAAGGAAATATATGACTAGACGAGTTTAGTAGGGTAGGGTTAAATTGAGTTAAGTCTAGTCAGGTTAAATATACTTCACTTAAAAGATATATTTCTAAAGCTAAGCCCGGTAGATATAATTATAAACATCAATACATCCACCTACCCCTCCCGCCTCGCCCCATTTACTGACCAACTCCTAAATAACTAAATAATAACTACCTCCAACTCCCTCCCTCCTAATCTAAACTAATTCTAACCTATAGCGTGTTTAAAAAAAAACTAATCAACTACTTAACGCTACTCGAGTTAATCATAAGTTAATCGAGTACTTAGCGAGTTAAGTTGAGTTGACTAGGTGCTACTACTTATACTCAAATCAACTACTCGAATTTGACACGCTGCTTAGGTAGTAACCTATGCCTGTACAAGTACCCTACTTAATAAGCCGTTTGGGTAAGATATAGAATAATCTGTAAAGTACGCAAGTACCTAGATAGTTTATTGATAAAGACTTGATATAGATGTATAGTACATATATCTGTACTCGTAGTAGTTAGAAAACTTATAGTACATATATCTGTATTCGTAGTAGTTAGAAAACTTACGAGTTAAAGTCTTAGTCTCTTAGATACCTAGATGTCAAATGTTATACATGGTCTATCTATCTACTCGTATCTACAAACTGGGAAGCATGTAACATATATATCCCGACTATTCATTCCATCTACCCACCTACCCCTCAAGAAACAACACGCTTCCAGAAAAGAAAGAAACCGTACTAGGTAGGTATATTACGCGATAAGAAAAGTGCGAAGGAATCACAAAAGGAAAATAAAAAGGATGCGGGGTATTGTATTATATTGTATTCGCATTACTTGCTAGTACCTAAGGTATTTCCCTTCCCTTCCTTTCCCTCCCATCCACCCATCTACCACTTTCCCATTCCATTCTGTGGAACAGAACCACACATCCCAATGCCTCCATCGTTCCTTCCTCGCATTCCTTCCTTCCACATGCTGACAAACCCAGCATTTATTGATCCATCCATCCACCCACTCGCTCGTAATCAGGGTAATCTACCATTGCCAACCTGCCTCGAAAAAGGTAGGTAAAAATCACAATCGCACTCGCCCAAAGCCAAGCGACCGGGTTGAAAAAAATCCCTTCCCAAATAGGTAGATGAAAATAAGAGGTAACCCCCACGAAATAAACCCGTCAACCAACAGAAAACGCCAGACGATTCATAGAGTCGTAACTTAACTCCCCACCCAACAAACAGCCACAGAGAAGGAAAAGAGAAAGGCCTCAGAGAGAAACCTAATAAGGCGAATTAACAATATCCTCCTTCCCAAGCTTATATCTTGCACTATCTCTCGTCCCAATTCTCCCAGCTTCACTTCGTCGCGACGAACCACCACCGAGACGGATCTGTGCCGGATTCGCAATACTCTCTCGTGTGGGCTTCTTCAGAGATTGCTTCGCAACCATGTTAACCTCATTAGGCAGTGCGACGATAACGTTCTTATCAGAGCCAAATTTGAAATTGTCAGCCTTGACTTCTTCCGCGTATCGCTTGATGCTGTATGGGTCCTTGCTACCTCGGAGGACTTTCTTCATGTTCCAGGTGACAATGAAGGGGCCTGTAGCGGTGATAATGGATGTTTCTTCTACACCCTCGCCCGTGTTGAATCGTGCGGTGGTGAAAGAGATTGGAACTCCGGTTTCGTGTTGGAATTGCGCAACGTGAGATGGTGTCAGTCCTAAACGACGAGGCTGGGGCTTCGAGTCCTTGCCGAATGACTTTTCAAAACCTAGCTTGCCCTCATTCTTGCCGGTCTTTTGAAGGGCATCAATGAGAAGCAAGTAGGTTCTGCATGTAGCAAGAACCCATCGGCCATCAGCACTCACATCCAAACCAATAATGGGCTCACCAAGGGCAGGAATATGAGTTTTAGCGTTGATGCCAAGACGGTCGAACATGCGGATATCACCTTTGTTACTAGCTACCGCAATGTAACCCTTTTCGGTTGTAGCTGCGGCCGAGAAGTCGTTCTTCGAGACATATTGCTTGAGCTCTGAATCCACCAATTTGCTGCCAGCTAGACGAGGATCAATGCGGTAAAGCGCATTTCGAGATAATCCAAGAAAGGTCTGCTCTCCACTCATTTGAGCAAACTTGCTTTCAGGCGCAAAAGTATTGACTAGAATATCATCGTGAACCTTCCACTCGTCCACAATTTTACCATACTCCAAATCCATTCGATAAAGTGAATTAGGATTGTTTTCGTTTTGAAGAATCATGTTGGTATCCTCAGCGTGAAGCATAACCTTCTTAGGACTGAAGAGCTTTCCTCCAGGTGTTTCGACTTTGGAAATGTTTGTCGAGAATTCCAAATTGTTATTAGGTGTGTGCTTGAACACTCCAATCTTGGAGCCTCGAACAACGAATGAACGATCGTGTTTGTAACCGACTGCAAGTTGAGAGTTGACATTTCCATCATCGGGCTTGGTGACCACATCGTCTTCGTCCTCATCACTATCGTATTCCTCACTTCGCTGACCATCATCCTCAATCTCTTCTTCCTCTTCCTCCTCCTCTGGGTATTCCTCCGCATCCTCCATGGTGAGATCTTGAAATGCCTCCATAACATAATCTCGATCATCGTCCTTGGCTTTGTTCCACTTGATCTCATTCAGTTGCTCCCACAAAGCCTGCATCAAACCTTCCTGGAAACGGAGTAGAGTCGGCTCGTCTTTAAATCGTAACAACCAGGAGTATGCGTCACCGTTTGCAGAGTATGCATTGAAGATACATGATAAATACTCGAAACTGAAAACAGGATTGATGTCCGCAATAATGTCCTGGCCAAGCCAATCTCTATCATCGCTTTCAATTTGTAGGTAGTATCGCCAATTGCCAACTTCCGAGACGGTGGCCTTTACGGCAGGATCTTGAAGGATGAATGCGCCAGATTGAAAGTCGAACAGATGGAGCTCAGCCATCTCCTCTCCTAAGATGGATCTTGCTTCGGGATGTTCAGCGACCGGAGGCGCAGCGGTTGGACCTTCATCTTGGGGTGTCTCTTCTCGAGTCTCTCTGGATGGTGTACTCTCACGCTTCTCACGCTTCTCCCGCTTTAATGCCGAGTTGGCAGTGCTTCTCGTCGTGAGGGGCATTGTTTGTACCGGCGATAGTTGTTGCGGGCTCTGTAGGGGGCTGTGGATAGGACTCGCAGAAGGTATTGACGGCTCGTCGACAAAGGTGAACGCAGCAAGATCCTGTGTGGTAGCAGTTGTGTGGTTTTTGCGGTGCTTGCGCTCGTATTGACAGCGAACGGCAGTGAGTTCAAAAGCCTGCACTTGAGCGTCGTCGACCGATCCGTCGCAGACAAATTGGTAGATATCACCGGCGTCACCACTCAAATCTCTCCAAGCCAAAACCTTCTCTCCGCCTTGTCGAATTTCCGATCGGAAGTGCAGACTCTCGTCGAGTAAAAATGTCTTTTCGTCTCGCTCGGCCGCTAAGACAGATGCGGTCGAGTCCTCGCCGTCCTCGTCGTCCAACAACTCCTCCTCTCCCTCTTCGTATGCGCGTTGAATGACAAGTTGGTATTGGAAGTCTTGGTTGGTCTTTCTGATTCTTGCGGCGGCGTCTTTGAAGATCAACTCCGAGTAACCTTTGGGTGAAAGCGGTCGGACAATGTAGAGTTGGCCTTGTGGGATCTCGATAATGGATTCTTTGGAGGTATCTCCGAAGATCAGTTTTCCGACTGCAAAGGGAAGTTAGCAAGGCGGTGACGGTGACGATTTTTGATGATGCGAAGGCGCTGGTGCTGGAGCAGGTGCAGGTGGCAGTCAATATTGTAGGCAAGCGCGGTCCCATCTCCATCCCCACGGTGACGCGACGAGGGGTAATTTGGTAGGAATTCTCGGGCCATCAACAGGGTTCGCACTTACCATTTCTGAGGACAAACATCTTCTAAGGAACGTATAGGTAGACTTTTCGCAGATGTTGGTAGTATGGATTTTAGGGTGCGGATATGGGTACGGCAGAGGTACCAGGCAGGCACCAGATATTTGTACAGCGATGGCAATGTAGGATGGAGTGTAGAAACTATGGGAAAGTTTTCGTGGTGCAAAAGGGAAAGGCCGTGATATTGCCTGAACATTGGCGGGGATATGGATCTCTTTGTGACGTGGTGGCGGTGCATACGACACGTGATTGTCGTTTTTGTGGCGTTCCATTGCTTGGCAATCTCTGGCGAATTGAATGCCGTTGCTCCCCTCCATGTGGCTGCTGGTTAACGAGTGTGCTATCTCTACGATACCCTAAAGGAGAGCCCGGGGTTTTTGCGACCGTCGCATGACCGTTACTAATCAGACTCCGTTCTAGGAGCGTTCTAGGAGCGTTCCTACTTATTAATCGTTCTAAGATAAAACTATTTGTTAGCTAAATAGTTTTTAGTTAAACGAATCATACGATTATTATTATAAGTAAGTATTTAGATTCAGAAAACGGTTATTCTTTATAACTATCCTAGGACAATTCTAGGACAGTTCCCGAGAACCCTCCTAGATAACGAGAGGAGCAGGGGTCGCACAGACGAATACAAGTACTCGGTACTGCTCCTATAGGCTCAACCTCAACGCTATATAAATTTAAGTTTTAGATTCGCTCGATTCGGACAAATTTCATCTGCGCGTTACACAGGCGTGGTTTTATAGAGTTATTTAAAAAATCCTTAACCCTTATAAATATTTTATTATTCTTAACCGACGCTCTACTACCTAAAGTTATATACGTGTATATAGTCTACGTAGTCTAGGGAATAGGTAGCCTAGAATAGGTAGTATACGTATTACTAGTAAGCGTATAACTACTATAGTAATATTACTACTTATAATATATACCTATAAAATTTAGCCGAATCGCGCGAATCTAAAACTTATATTTATATAGTATTACTATCTATTATAAGTTATAGTACCGAGTATTTATTATACCCCTATAAGTTATAGCTGTGAGCCCGGTAGCCACTTTTTGACTGCAAAATTTGACTTTTTACCTTCAATTAATTGATTCATCTTACACTTCTCTGCAACCTTTGTTTATATTCGACTTGCCTCAGCTCAAGGAGTAGTCACGATAAACAAAGAACCCTCTCGAACTCCCGTCTTGAGGTCATCATCATGTCGACGTCCAAAACCATCACCCTCTTAAACCCTAAAGACTGGGATCCGTGGATATTTGGCGTCAAATCCGTTGCTACCAGCAATGGAATCAGTGTTTGGAATCTTTTAGATCCTTCACTTGCAACCCAACCAATCATGCCTGTTCGTCCGGAAGAGCCGACGATACAGAGTATTAACCCAAACGCTACTCATCGAGCTGATCTAACAGCAGATGAAAGAGCAGACCTACGCTTCGACATCTTACGATATGACAGCAAAATCAAGGAGCTCGACAAAAGAGATGCCCTGATTCACGAAGTCCGCAAGCATATCGAAGGCACTATACACATCAAACACATCGTTCTTATCAAAAACCTCACGTCTACCTACGACATCTTGAGGGCTTTGAAAAAGAGGCTAGCACCAACCGACGAAGCAAGACAGAATGAAGTTATTAGAGACTACGCCAAGCTCAAACAGTGGAACAAAAGCCAGAAACCTGAAGATATACTGTCCCAGTGGGAAGCTGTATATGCTGAAGCCAGGGCTCTTGACCTTCCAGAAGTGAGTGGCGACAGAGCTCAAAAGGACTTTATTCAAGCAATCCGCGCTATCGACGATTCATATGCTACAGCACTTGAAGTCAACATTGAACAAAAAGAATTAGACGGCGGTAAAATACCAGAATTATACGACCTAATTGAGCGATTCCGCAACCACGTTCGTAAGCAAGACTCTCTCAAGGGACTCAAGTCTACACACGCTTCTTTTTCAACCACAGAACAGCAAGAGCCACGACAGCAATCCTTTAAAGGAAGAGCACTTACAACACCATCACAAGCCTGTCCGTACGAATGCTACTGTGGAGAAGGAAAGCACTGGTTCAGAGACTGTTTTTACATCAACAAGAAGATTAGGACACAAACCTGGACTGGAAAATACGACATCTTTGTCAAGATCAACGAGTCTCTCAATAATCCACAACGAACGAGGACAAAAGAGCACCTGAAAAGGAACTTTGAGTACGACTCTGACGCACCTATTCCAAAAGGAGCTGTTAATACAAAAGCTCACGGCGACTTCGCCACTTCATATAAGTCCAGTTTTAGCACGTCAGCAGACCAGAATAGGGATAACTCGCTGTACAATTGCTGGATCCTTGATGGAGGCTCTGATATCCATGTTTGCAACGAACCTACACGCGACTCTTGGGTAAAGACCCGGGATGCTGGTCCAAACGACAAGCTGTTAGCTGGAAAAGAGCGCTACAACATTGAAGCTTTTGGCACTGCCAAAGTCTGGATCGACACACCCGTAGGGAAGCAATTCATCAACCTTACGAACGTTGCCCTTGCCCCTGGATTTATGACCAACCTAGTGTCACTTGACATTCTTCGAGTAAAAGAAGTCCACTGGAACTCAAGAACTCCAAGTCAAATGGAACACCAGGATGGAAGCATCTTTTGCTACCTTACTTCACATGACAGCAAATGGGTATTTACTACCACTTCTCAGTACATACAGCCAGAAGCACACAAATCACTTGCCACAAAAGGATTCCAAAGCTCAGCTCAACCTCGTCACCTTGCAATCACTGAACGAGACCTTCATATAACACTTGGCCATGCAGGCACAGAGGCCATCTCTGAGGTTGAAGCTGCAGGAGCTGATATTACGGTTGACTCAAGCGTGCCTTGCCCTACAACAATACAGTGCGAGACTTGTAGTATTTCCAAGACTACGCAAATCATCTCACGCCGTACAGAACGCGAGTTCAACCCAATTGGACCGTTTGATCACCTGTCATACGACCTGATCCCTTTGGAGAAGTCGTACAATGGCATAAACCAACTGAGCCACTTCCACTGCTTGCTTTCAGGATTCCACATCGTAGTCTGCCACAAGAGCAAGACTGAGAGTACTCAAATAGTCCAAGATGTTGTTAAGATGATCAAAGTACAACTTGGCTTTATAGTACGGGTTATTCACACAGATGGCGAGAAGACGCTAGCTTCTGACTTTGACGGATACCTCAAAAAGGAAGGCATGAGAGTCGAACGCTCAGCTCCTTACACCCAAGCACAAAACGGCGACTCAGAACGAGCAGGACGATCTATTGCTACAAAAGTAAGGTGTATTCGCATCCACGGAGGCGGTCTACACAACATTTGGAACTTAGCTTGTGATTATACTGCTCAAATACTCAACCGTACACCACTTGAGAAGCTAGGCTGGAAGACCCCATGGGAATACGTCTTTAAAAGCAAACCTCGATACGCTCACTTGTATCCATTCCTCTGCAAAGCTTACGCACTTGAGAAACACATCCCGAGGAAGCAGAAACTCAACCCTAGAGCTCAAGTAGGCTACTTTGTAGGCTACGAATCAACAAACATCTTCAAGGTCTGGATACCCTCAAAGAACAAGGTTATTCTAACTAGAGACGTCACATTCGACCGAACCTCCTTCTACGACCCTAGTAATACTGAATTACAAGACATACTACGCGAGACAACAGAAGACCTGGTTGAAAGACTTGAAATACCAGCTACTTTAGAGCAAAGGAGTAGGTATAGGAGCATTGAAGAAGCGGCTGTACTTGAAGCAACTACTACAGTACCCCAGAAAGAGACTAATGTAGAGGAACCAACCCAGCTGCTTTCACCCCAAATTACCCCAGAAGCCAGCAGTCCAACCCCACACAATATTAGCCTACCAGCTTCACCAGCAACACTTGAAAGTTCTGAGCTCTCTGATCTGTCAGATGATGATATCGACAATCAACTTCCACTTGCTCCTGGCAACCCTGGCAACCATGCCACTCGACGTAATGAGATATACGCTGGTGTAGATTCAGAAAACATCATTCCAGCAGGCACATCACGTACTACACGTACAGCACTGGCTACTCAATGGAGTCCATATAGCTCTTATCACTCAGCCTTTTCCACTGCACTAAAAACTAAACCAACAACTCGCCTACATCGAGACCAGATGCCGCCACCTCCAAAGACATATAGAGAGATGCTACGCCACCCTTTTAAAGACAACTTACAAAAAGCATGTGACCAGGAGATTAACACTCTAAAGTCAAAAAACACCTTCAACCTTGTTCCACAACTAGACAATAACAACTCTCTTCCTTTGATGTGGGTCTGGGCATACAAGTTTGACGAGAATGGGTATATTCTCAAGTTCAAAGCTCGTATTTGTGCAAGAGGAGACCTTCAATGGACAGACCAGGAGACCTACGCTGCCACTTTAGCTGCACAAACGTTCCGTGCAACAACAGCCATTATTGCAGCCTACGACTTAGAAACCCGATCATACGACGTAATCAACGCCTACGTTAATGCCAGATTAAAACAACCAATCAGATGTAAGTGTCCTGAGGGATACGAGCAAAGTGGGTTGGAATGGGAAGTAATCATGGCTTTGTATGGCCTCAAAGAATCAGCCCGTCTCTGGTATGATGATATTGTCAAGACTCTCGCTGAGTTTGACCTCTACCCAGTCCCTGGAGTCCATTGCCTCTTCTCAAATAGCTGGCTTACCCTTATACTGTACGTGGATGACATAATCATTGCTTATCCCAAGGAAAATCAGTCCAAGGTCGACGAATTCGAGAAACAGCTGCTTTCGAGATATCAAATACGACAGCTTGGCGAAGCTACGCACTTCCTAGGTGTACGAATCATCCGGGACAGGCTCAGAAGGAAGCTCTGGTTAATTCAGGACGACTATATTCAAAGTCTTGCAAGCCGATTCAACATTGTTATTACCCGAGTACCACAAACACCACTCCCTACAACAAAGCTAGTACCCTGGGATGGCACAGCTTCTTCTTCTCAAATTACTGGATATCAGCAAAAGGTTGGGAGTGTAAACTTTGCTTCTTGCTATACTAGACCGGATATCTGTAGAGCTGTTTCAAGACTCTCAGAATACCTAACCAATCCGTCGCCTCAA